TATGCTGATTTGCTGATAATCAATATTTAAAACAGTCGTGTACATTTTTTTTCAGGATTCTTTGATGAATAGAAAGATCCAAAGATCAGCATTTATCTGAAATAAAAAGCTTTTGTAACATTATACACTATTCCATTCAGTATAATTTTTATACATTTTTTGGGAACGAAATTATAGAAATTAATAATTTTATTTAGCAAGGATGCTTAAAATTGATCAAAAGTGATGATAAAGGCATTTATAATGTTACAAAATATTTTTATTTCAGATAAATAGTGTTCATATCGATATCGGAATTGTATCGTATCGACCGAAATTAAGAAATATATCGTGATATACATTTTGGCCATATCGTCCAGCCCTATGTTCTCGTGAGTGCAGATCATAATTTCCTATACTAAGTAACTCAACAGATTGACGCACCAAAATAAAAAGATCAAGTAACGCAAGAGCGCAGTGCAAACGACGTTGTTCAACTGTATCATAACATATATTCTTAAAATATAGCAACATTGTTTACATAATGGTTATGTACTTCGAAATATTGATTTAGGGTTACCAAGTCAAGCTCTCCAAAGACCGTCCTCAGCCTGGGGACTATTTTTAGGCTTTATTAAGAACTATTTTAATACTTTCTGGCAGAGGGATGATTTACTCATGGCAGTCTGATTACATTCCTGTTGTAGCCTTTGACATTTTAGGCCTTCCTTTGGTGTTGCGTATGAAAAGCAAGAGAGAGAAAGAGACAGTGGAGGTGAGAGTGGGTGTGTGGCGGCAGACGGGCTGAAACAGGCTAGTCAGAGATTGGGGCAGGTCACTGGTGTTATGTAACACTGGCATTTTGACTCCAGCAAAAATAACCAACCAGCAGTGAGGTCGCCAGCAAAGGTTACAGAGTGTGTAATATTATTCTGTAAAGCAGCTAATGAAGAAGGTCTTAGTGCAGACCAATGTGTTGTATAAGATGTTGAAAACAGTTTAAACTATAAAAAAGATGACAATGTCCAGGTAAACCACACGCTTCTGCCCACACCAGTACTTTCATGGCATCCAAAAGCTTTGAACTCATGGAACCGGTTTTTCGCATCACTTCTGCAGTCACATTTTCTAGGAAACAGTCATGAGCCACATTGGAGCTTTTAATGATCAAATCAAGGTTTATTGCTGATGTCCACCTACGGAAAAAGGAGCAGAATGGAATGCTCCGAAGAAGTCCAGGTCATTTTTGGTTATGATATTTCCTGTAAAATGGTTTGTATAGTCTTTATGTAACTCTTATTTATTATAAGGCTGAATTACATGTCACTTCTCCCTCCCATATATATTTCTACAGTGACCTTTCTTTTAGGGAGCAACTTTTGACCTTTATATCCTAGACACCTCTTCAATGCAGGGATTTCGGGATGGACTAGAGAGGAAAAGGTCAGGGATGCTGAGCTGTGGTTTTCGTTTCCCATCTTCAGACTCAGATTTTGATGCCCTGAATACTGACACATTCTTTTTATACTGTTTCTGCCTCTTGGTCATTTTAATATTTATAAAATATATAACAAATGTCCCTCTATAGTTACATTTCTATGAAATATGCTGTGAAACAGATCAAATATTGTACAAGTATAAAATAGATGTTAAAACGAAAATATTGTTGCTTTGTTATTTAAAGATGAAAAATCACCAGCATCAAGACTGAAGATGCTTTATGCATGCACATGACAGAGCACAATAATCTGTACAGCTCATGCTATTGATCATCTTAAATAATTATGTTCCCAAAGTTGAGATCTATATGTTAATGCTAGTTGAAATCATTGCAAAAATTATACTATCAAAGATGTGCTAAAATTGCGCTTTGTTTTTGATCCATAAGTGAATCCTGGTTATTTATATTTTGCATAGGGTGCTGATCCCAGTCTGCCTGAAGAGCTCTCAAGTGAAGAAGGGTCACAAATGTCAACAATGCTGTGTGGTCAAGCAGGGCATCGCTACTGCAACCCTCTTCGATTGCACAAATGGCATGGAATGCTATTAGAGCTTCATTGACTCGTGTAGTTATTAACTGCATATAAAAATGTCTTCTGTTTTGGTGCAGTCGTGTCATGCATGGACTTGCTTTTGTTTTGGTGCAATCTCAACATGCATAAACTTACTTTGGGGTCTTTCTCGTAATAACTTTGCTGTGTTCTGAACCATCTGCCTACCAAGTGGTCTCTGACTGTGTGCGCGAGCGCAAAGTAATAATCCCGTTTAGTGGATACGTTCCTGTCCTTCACCAGCGTGAAATGCAGATGGCGATTAAAGTTTTTCTTTAAGTCTGCCACATTCTCCACACCGGCGAGCCCCCTCACAGAAATCTGCTTTTTCCTGTCGTGGTCTGACAGTGGTTTAGACATGGTGACAACAGTCTCGTGTTGGGTTCAGGTAAGTGTATAAATACCAGACCGCACGCAATAGCACGCATATAACGCTGACGGCTCTACTTATTTAAAGTCCCCATCATGAATATTAATTAGTGGGCGGGATTAGCGCGCAGCCATCCGCTAATTAAGCTTTCAATACGTTAACTACGCTTTTTGAAAATGAGGACACGGTGTTTTCTTTTTTACGCGATTGATAAATATGTGCAGTAGAAGTGAAAATTAATTATAAATACACGTATTTTAAGTTGAACTCCAACTCCAACAATGCAGAACTCTCTCGAGCCCCAGACATTAATAGCTGCAATGACCCAACTAAAAGGCCATGACATTTGAACGGCATGCGGTTTGCATAGTTCTATAACAGCTGAGCACCACACATGAATTTTCAGTCTTGTTCAAATTAATTTACTTTTAAATCATAATGATTATAATTATAAAACAGTTTATTTCATAGAGAATTGCAAACCCAGATTCTCAGCTAAACCATGGGACCAACAAATCACATTTTGTACACATTAAAATGTACACATTAACATTATATAATGCGTGTCAGGTCATTTAACATTCGATAATTTTACTAAAAATACCGTGTTTTTGAATTTTATTATTATTATTATTTTAAAGAAAATAGTAATATGTTTTTTTTCTCTGCAGACCTCCTGCAGTACCAAATCCTTTAGAGCAGAACCGGATAAGAAAAAAAAAAAAAAAGGATCCATCAGCCCCCTACACTGCAAAATAATAAATAAATAATCCGTTCTTAATAGACATCTTTGCCTTAGTTTCTAGAATTTTTTAAAAACCAGATAAATCAATTAATTGAGACTTGAATCTTGGCTATAAGTTAGTCAAAGATCTTTCCTAAGTTGCTATATTTACACTAGGCTAAATATAATGGAAATGCACTTACATTCAAGATAAATATAAGGCAGGATAACGTAATATTGGAGATTTTGCAGTATAAATATTTTTTATAATCACTAAAATATATTACATTTTATTTTAAGTCAAATAACACCAGTTTCTCTTTATTCCATCAGGTTCGAGATTTTAACTTTGTTTGAAACAATGCTTTCAAAATGTATTAAATGAATATTTTTTTTTTTTATTATTTTCAATGAAACAGATTATTTGACATTTCAGTCTTAATATCAATTCACGCTTCAGTGATAGCCAGATTGAGAAATTAAAGTGTGTGACACTATGTGGCCGCTGAGGGGAGCCAACACAACTGTTCAGTTTCACAATGATTACACCCTCAGCAGTGTGCATTATGGATAGTCAAACATTTGTGTCCGTGCTTTATAAGCACAGTCCTGTGATGCTCTGATTTACCATTAAAACAAACAAAGTCACACACACAGTTATCATAAATTAGGCAAAATTTCATAGAATGTTTTATTTTAATTAATTATAAAATATCTTTCTATTAGATGGATGGATGGATGGATGGATGGATGGATGGATGGATAGATAGATAGATAGATAGATAGATAGATAGATAGATAGATAGATAGATAGATAGATAGATAGATAGAAGATAGATAGAGCATCTTGTTTATTATTTATAAAAAAAGTTATATTTACTTGTGAAAATAAAAAATCATAATAAGCTATAATGATTTGTTTTAAGATAATATATTTATACTTTTCTTGGTTATGTGTGTGTATTTCTTGATAATATATTATTTCTTGTTTTAAGCATAAAACATTAAAGGGGTCATATGATGCGATTTCAATATTTCCTTTCTCTTTGGAGTGTTACAAGCTCTTGGTGTATAAAGAAGAACTGTAAAGTTGCAAAGGCTAAAGTCTCAAATCCAAAGAGATATTCTTTATAAAAGTTAAGAGTTAACCACACCT